CACAAACAAATTTCAAAGGTAACAGATCATCTTGGTTTATTTACATAAAACACTTTAGTGATTTCTAGGAACTAGTGATTTCAGCACTTTGGCTGGCCTTGTTGCTGTTTTTATGTGCTTTTAAAGTGGTATGGTATAATGACTTTAATTGCTGGATTTCAGAAACTGTGGCCCCCTGAGCAGTTTAGTTGAACACCTCTGACAAAGAGTATTTTATTTATTTGTTATTGTTAACCTTTATTTAATCAGGATAATCCCACTGAGATCACAGATCTATTTTGCAAGGGAGGCCTGGGCCTGAAGGCAGACTAACATGCATGTTTTTGGTCTGTGGGAGGAAACCGGAGTACCCGAAGAAAACCCACGCAAGCACGAGAAGAACATGCAAACTCCAAACAGAAAGACCCTAGGTCCAACCGGGGATTAAACCCAGGACCTTCTTGCTGTGAGGCAACAGTGCTAACCACTGAGCCATCGTGCTGCCAATATCTTTAAAGTTTCTCTCTTACATCTGGATGGATTGGATATCCACTTACTTTTCATAGAGACATGATACTCTGAAGCTAAACAATATTTTTTTTAGTATCAGATGACTGTAAATAATGCAAACCATTGTTGTCATCATGCAGGGTCATCAAAAATTCACCACTTGTTGTATAATATTTAAGTTTCTAATAAAATTAGGACTGTAGTGAGCCTGTTTGACCAGGAGGTGTCGCTGTGATTTCATTTTCAAGACATTAGATGAAAGTGACTTTTCTAACTTTATCCCTGTGTATTTGTTTCTGCAGAAAACGAAGCGAGATGTGAATAATTTCGACCAGGACTTCACCAAGGAGGACCCGGTGCTGACGCCCACAGACGAGGCCATCATCCGACAGATCAACCAGGAGGAGTTCAAGGACTTCTCCTACTGCGCCCCGGAGGAGACGCACACCTAACCCACACACTTATCACAGTAACGCTGAACCTGGCATGCTTAGGCTCAGCAGAACCACAAAACCGTCTACAAAACACGTAGGGTCAATCCTTTACTTTGAAGCTATTGGTTGTTGTTACTTTTGGAATATTATTTACTTGCATTGTGTTGTTCTTGTTGCCTGGGTTTATTGTGAATATGACTATGAAGATGAATATGAATATGCACACTTGTAACACAGATTTCACACTACAGATCGGACATGCTCTCACACACCAGCGCGCCCAACAAGACCACACACATCCACACCGCTTCTCTCTCCGGCACCTGAACACACGTGGACTGAAGGTGCTGAGGCTTGTAAATAGCCCGTGTTCAGTGGCTGTATTGTGTCGGTATTGTCTGCTAGTAAAGGGGCGTTGTGGCGCATGGACAAGCACCCTACCTGTGTTATTACTGTCCTTATCGTGGACCAGTTAGGGCCAAATATTCTTTGTGCAATACCATGACTATCTATATATTTTAAGGTTTGTTCATTTTTTTCTCCTCTAAATGTTTTTTTTTGTTTGTTGTTTTTGTTGTTGTTGGAATGAGTGAGATACTCCTTTCACTGCTGCAGTGTCTGAGCTCATATCCTCTGTATATAAATTGAATGTTACAGGCTATTGAACTAATTATGTGGAGCAGAGTGTTACAGGCGGCCTGTGTAGCAGTAAAAACTCCGGCGTCCAGCTATTTCATCCATCTGTTAGCTTCTGTCGATTCCTGGACCGCCGGTGTGAATGTGATGGAGCGTGGGTGTCGTTCAGATCATTTCTTTTTCTTTTCTTTTTTTTTTTTGTATTGTGAATGTACATTTTGTGTGCATGATTGTGTGGATTTGATTTTCCTTTATGTCGTTTCCCTTCTCTTTCCTTTCGCACCAAAGCTCCTTTTCTTTTTTCCTCACCTGCAGCAGCCATTTCTCTCCATCGCTTTCAGCCAAAACCACTAGCTTTGTCTCACTTTTGCTTCTTCTTTTTTTTTCTTTCAAAATAGCTTTTCTTATTGCTCTCTCTTTTTTATTATTATAATTATTATTTCTATTATTGTAAAGTGTATCTTGAGGAAACCTTTATGTATAATACTATAACTATACCATTATAGGTCTGTTACAGCCGGTTGTTATGAAATGTGGAGAACCAGCAGCTGAATTACCTCTCACTTCACACAAACACTAAACACAACACAGACTCTCTCCTCTGCTCTCTCTCCTCCTCGCTCCTTCCCCTTTGATGTCTCTCTCTTGCAAACACATGCACACTCGGAGAAGGACTTGTCGCGTGTACTGTAGTGATCTGAAGACGGGCTGGTTGCTGTCTGTGCAGTAGAGTCAGTGTGTAGTGAAGCTTCGTGCATCCAGGGGTATGGCTGTTCCTGGTCACACTATCTTACTCTGTGCCAAAATGTAGTGCAAACAGCCGGGCTAGTCCCGTCTGGTCTGATTCCAATAAAACACTGAGCTGTCTACATCAACCCCAGACGCCTTTGAGTCTTCTTTCCTATCTGTTTATTGCTCAATTTCATTTTTTTTCCACTGCGTTGCTGCTGCTTCTTAGAGGTAAGTCTGTGTGATGCTCTAAAAGTTTGCAAGTGAGAAGAGGGAGGAGCGGAAGGAGGGAGTAGGGTGATGGTTTTCCTGGCCAGCTGACCTATCATTCTGCTCAATTTTGGAGGCCTGATAGATGATTTGCATGCAGAAAGGAGAGAGGAGACGCTCGCTGGAGTCGGTCCAAGTCACTTGTGCTGCAGGAGACCTCTTGTCTCGCCTTAGAGACTTATGCGGGACACAATGACAGCTGACAAGGACAAGAGAAGGTAAATCTGTTTAAAACAAACCGTCTGCCAGATCGTTTTGGTTGGCTTGTGTCTGCGGTTGGTGGTTGAGGCGATGTTGCAATGAAGCTGGTAGTGTGGCCACAATGGGCATCTGGTTAAAATCTTGACCACATCAGTTTTTTTTAATTAATGGAAGAAACAATTGAATCCTCATTTAAAACCTGGGATTGAAATATAAAATTTTTAAAAAGTTATAAGCATGCAAAAGCAAAGAAAACTCATATTTTGAAAAAGGAAGTATGGGATGCTTCCTTACATGTTGAGAAATAATTTACAATCCTTTCAGATGGGGTCAAAAAGTCACAAGTTATGAAGCTGAAAGTTAAAACTATATATATTTTTTTATTATTCTTTGATCCCCCACCATGTGATATGGATGGCTGTTTGGCTTTAAGTGTAGCTGAACATATAAGACAAATATAAAAAACTACAGCAGTTAAAAGCAAATGAATAAAATGAGCATCTTTATCTTTTGAAATCAAGCTTCTAATTTAAATCACTTACTGTATGTTAAAGTATACAAACTAGTTTGATATAAATCAGTTGGAAGACTACATGTATATTGCATATAATTTCATTTTTTATTCAATCTCTGTTTATCTATATGACATGTCAGAGTTTTTTTTCTTTAAATTAGTAAATTTCAACAAACATTATTTGAGGCCTCTGACTTGTTTTGTCCGTCTGCAGAGCGATCAGCCGCGAGGCGGCCAGACGGAGACGGCGAGTTGAGTCGGACGTGTTTGACGATTTATCTCGCCTCCTGCCTCTGCAGCCCTCCATCCGAGCTCAACTTGACAAACCCTCCGTCATCCGCCTCACCCTGAGCTACATACGCATGCACACACTGCTCCAAGGTAACAGCACAATCTACACACGCGTGAAGGAAGCGTTTAACCCATACCGCTAACACTAGTTCTTAACGTTTACGTGGTCAACAAGTGGAACAAACTAAACCAGGCTTCTGAATAAAGCAGGTACTGATGAAGGTTATATTGTTCAGATATTGTGTTAAATAATGGATTATTTTTTAAAAGATGTGTAAAGCATAAAAGAAGTTACAATATATACTAGGGATGCACGATGATATCGGCCGGGATTAGAGAATTTGACATAAAACATAATCCAAGTTGAAGTGTTGCGTCATTTTCAGACCCCTTTTTGGTATCTGCATTTGGTAGCAGGCCAAACTGGCAAAGACCATGCAGACTAATATATTTTAATTTCACAGCAGAGTAGTCTCTGTAAGTAGGTCTAGGGGGGGGAATATTGGTATTGGTATCGGTTATCAACCAAATAAGTTTTAACATATCGGCATATCGGATATCGGCCAAAAATCCAATATCTTGCATCCCTAGTATATACTATTTTATTAGGACATTAATGTCTTGGGTAAAAAAGTAAATAAATAAATTAAACCATGAAATTTCCACTAAACAAATGTTTAATTTGTCTCTAAATGTACTGAGCAATATGAAGTTAAAAAAAATGATTGTAAAGAAATCATCAAATTTTCCTTTTTTTATTTTTTTATTTTATTTTACAAAGCCTTAAATAAATTTAAATTTCTGTCCCAACAATATATTTCAAACAAACCTTTGGAGAGTTAAACTAAGATCATCGTACGTTGAGAAATGACAACGTTGTATCCGTTTTGGGCAGTACCTGAAAATAACGTCACACGCAGCTCATGCAATATCACGAGATGTCACGGTCAGCCTATTTGTTGTGAATGCCTCTCGACTACTACCTCAACAAATTTTAGCTCAATATCTGTTAAACTGATTGATTTATTGTCATTTTTGTGTTGGATTAAGTCAATTAGATGTGGTAGCCATCTTAAATTGAACAAACTCAGAAAGTTAATCAGTTGTAGAAGTATCTAATCTTTTGAAAGTTTCATTAAAATCCATCCAGTGGTTCATGAGGTTATTTTGATTACAGATGTTGGCAAAAACGTTATTGTCCACCTTTGCATTTTGGCGCCGGGCGCAAATAAATAAAATTATAAATACGGATCCATGAAATATGCACTCTTCTCTAAATCTATGCAAAAAATGGCTTGTGGGTTATTTTAGGTGTCAGACAAAGGAAGTCCTTCAGCATATACTGTATACGTAGAGTACGAGTACACATAAAAAAAATACACCACATCCTTTGTTCTCCTGTTTTTATACTTACTACAACAAGAAAGGGTAACAGAGAAGTTTCCCATGAAATAAACTATTTATTCATGCAGTTTGTAGAAGATTTGTCATTTCTTCTGTTTCAGAAACGGCTGGGATTAGTCCAGAGCTCAGAAAGGCGGTAAGGTTTGAACATGGGATGAAAGGAGGACAGGAACTGATTTGTGAGATAGAGAAAGAGATGGATGACTTCATGTCACTGGATGAAACAAACATGTACCTGAAGATTCTGGAGGGATTTCTAATGGTCTTGTCCACCTCAGGAGACATTATCTTCTTATCGGAAAATGTCAGCAAATACATGGGTTTGACACAGGTAAAACAAAAAACTAATCTCACAGGAGTGATGCTTTAGGGTGGAAATAATAATATGAATTCTGAGTTAGCAGTGACACTTGTTTTCCTGTTTTGTTTTGTTTTTCAATCTAACTACTGTGCTTCTGCATACTTTGTGCTATTTTAGCCATTCTCAGCTAAACCAAAGTGTTCAGCTCATAAATAAGTTATGACATTTGGGTTTCAAAATGTTTAAACTTTTCCAACTGGCTCTACTTTTCTCTTAGAGATTTTACCATTTTGCTACTTTTAACTTTAAATTAGCCTTTCACTACTTTTAGCTTAAAGCTACTGTTCTCCTACAAAGTACAAAAGTACATTTAGCTTCTATCTTCAAGCCTTTTGCTGTATTTAGCTCTTAACCAGCTTTTTGCCACTTTTTCTTCTAACTAATCTTATGGTACTTTTAGCTTTTAGCAAGCCTTTTGTTACTTTTAGCTTTAGGCCAACAGTTTTTTTTTTTTTTAGCTGTGAGCTAGCAGATAACGATTTAATGTAGTGACCCCAGAAAAGAGAACAGCTAAAAGAAAAAGAAGAAGCTACATGCTAGCATTTTTGTTACTTTTGTCTATAAGCTATAATTTTGCTACTTTAGCTTTGAGCTAGCCATTTGCTAATTTTAGCTTTAAAAACTCAGTTTTAGCTTGTTCGAAAAATTTCAGCAATCACTCAAGACTCAGCATTCCCATAATAAATGCTAATCCTCTAGTTTACCTTCTGTTTTTCTACAGACTGAGCTGATGGGACACAATATTTTTGAGTATACTCACCCATGTGATCACGAGGAACTCAGACATAATCTACGTCTGACAGCAGGTGTGTGTGTGTGTGTGTGTGTGTGTGTGTGTGTGTGTGTTAACATTAAGGTACTTTTGAACAGGCCAGTCCCTGCTGCTTCATTTAATTGTTTCTTTGTAGACGAGGTTTGGTGCAGCCAGAAGAGGGAATTTGTCACGAGGATAAAAAGCGCTCTGACTCACAGAGGAAGAATCGGTAACATTAAGTCAGCTTCTTGGAAGGTTAGTGAGAAATAATGAAACTTTAGACGATTCTTGATGATTTGTCAATTTATTATGCTTCACTTTTATGACTGCAGGTGTTGCACTGTCAGGGCAGAGCGAAGATGTGCATGGCCTCATCTTCAGTGTCCTGTCTGCTACTGACCTGCCGCCCTCTGCCGCTCACACACACACTCCTCAGCACACACACATTCACAAGCCAGCACAGCATGGACATGAGGTTCACATACTGCGACCAAAGGTACATAAACACACAAGTAAAAATAAAATCCTGTTCTGTTGTGCACTCCTATTCTATTTCAAGATTTCTGTTTTACTGTCACGAACAGGCAACAATGAAACATCAATACTGCTATAAAATTCCTAATAAAAGTTGAGAGCAAAGACTAAAAGTTAAAGGTTAAGTATTGCACATTTAAAAAACAGATAAAATGTATAACATACCGGTAATAAATGAACTTGTACAAGTACACTTGGTGTGCCTGCAAAGACTTAAGGGGATGTATAAATACTTGGAGATAGGAAATAATTTTCTACAAAATTATAGATATAAATATATTAAAAGAACTATATAGTATTACCCGTTTTATATTTAGTATTACTGGAGAGACCGATACGAATTAGAATGTACTTGGTGTGTCATCTGGACAGAGAATGGATGATAAGGAAATCTTGTGGTGGAATAGTGAAGTGCAGGAAGCTATTCAAAGAAAGTGGTTAGCCAAGAAGGAATATGACAGTGAGAGGACTGAAGAGAGGAGACAGGAATATAAGGAGATAGAATGAAGAGCAAAGAGGGAAGTAGCTAAGGCAAAGCAGAAGGCGTATGATAAGGTGTGTGGGAGGCTGGACACTAAAGAGGGTGAGAAGGACTTGTACCAATTGGCAAGACAGAGAGATCAGGCTGGAAAGGACGTGCTGCAGGTTAGGCTTGTTAAAGATAGGAATGGTAATGTTCTAACAAGTGAGGAGAGTGTGACGGAAAGATGGAAGGAGTACTTTGAGGAGCTATAGAATGAAAGAGAAAGAAGAGTAGAGGTCATAGAAACTGTGGACCAGGAAGTGGGAAAGATTAGTGAGGGTGAAGTCCGGAAAGCCCTGAAAAGAATGAAGATGGGGAAGGCAATAGGACCTGATGACAAACTTATGGAAGTTTGGAAATGTCTTGGAGAGATGCCAGTGAGGTTTTTGACTCAAATATTCGATGGCATAGTGAGAAAATGCCCGAGGAATGGAGAAGAAGTGCCCATTTTTAAGAACAAGGTTGATGTACAGAGTTGTAGCAACTACAGGGGAATTAAGTTGATGAGTCACACAATGAAGATCTGGGAGAGAGTTGTGGAAGCAAGACTTAGATGAGAGGCGACTATGTGAGCAGTAGTATGGTTTCATGCCAAGAAAGAGCACCACAGGTGCCATCTTTGCTTTGAGAATGCTGATGGAGAAGTACAGAGAGGGTCAGAAAAACTCCGTTGTGTCTTTGTGGATTTAGAAAAATCAAATTACAGAGTGCAGAGGGAGGAGGTGTGGTAATGCATGAGGAGTGGAGTGGCAGAGAAGTATGTTAGACTGGTACAGGACATGTCCTCACATGTGAGGACAGCAGGACAGTGGTGAGATGTGCTGTAGGAGTGACAGATAGCTTCAAGGTGGAGGTGGGAGTGCATCAAGGATCAGCTCTGAGACCCTTCTTGTTTGCTCTGGTGATGGACCGACTAACAGATGAAGTCAGGCAGGAATCCCCATGGACGATGACGTTTGCAAATGACATTGTGATCTGTGGTGAGAGCAGGGAGCAGGTGGAAGAAAACTTGGAGAGGTGGAGGTATGCACTTTAAAGAAGAGTTAGCCGTAGTAAGACAGAGTACATGTGTAACTCAGAAGGAGACAGGTGGAACGGTGAGGCGGCAAGGAGCAGAGGTCACAAATGTTTCACTCAGAGTCAAATAAATTTTATGTAGTACGACAGGTTCAAGTTGTGGCTGAGATAACTCTGGATGTGCAGGGTTTTTGAAGTTTTCATTCAGAGCCACCTCTGGGTGCTATCTTTGATAGTAAAATTGTAACAGCCAACAACCTCAACTCAATGTTTCAGTTAAGAGTAGAGGGTACCTCCTATACATCTTACTGACTAGTTTCATCTTCTGCATGCTGATTTGGACAATTTCTGTATTTCCAATCTCATTTATTCATATATTTTTTGCTTCTATACTCTGTATTATGTTCTGAATTTTTATGATTTCTCTTTTCAATATTTCCATGGCTCCATTACCTTGTACCTAATCTTTGTCAGGTGATAAATCCTGCATCCTTTTTTTTTTTTTTTTTATTTATTTTACAAAACATGAATGACTGTTTGGACGTGAGAAGATTTTGTTGAGCTAAGAGCAATTCTAGAAAAGCTCCAGTGTGCAACGTAACAGCTGTAGTTAGTCAAAGTATTTGCAAATTGCATCTCTGCTCAGAACAGCTCAGCTAATTGATTTAGAGACAATCAGAACATAATATTGATTGTATAATAAGGTTAAATGTACATTTATAAATGAACAAGTGTATATTTATAAACAAGTTAAATACACACTGTTTACGGAAAATGATGAGTTTTTATAGAAATAAATAAATGTACTGTAATGAAGAAATATTCAGCTTAAAGGTTTTAGCTTGAAAAACAGCAAATAACTGAAGCTCTTGTGCCCATTTTTGCAAAACATTGAATCATTAATACCTTTACTCATTCATTCTGTTGGCAGTTTTTACAATCCTTATGTTTTATCTGCAATAAAACATAATTATTCTTTCATTAATTGATAAACCAGGTTATGAAAATAATAGAAAAATAAGAAATTTTACAAAAATCAAATGCACTTTTTTTCATTTCTTTCATCAAACCTTCTGCACTGCCTTAATATTATTGCAAACAGGAAAAATAAAGCTTATCTCCTATAAAAAACAAGTCATTAATGCCCCTTTTCCATTAGTACCTGTAGTACCGGATCCAGTGACTCCGCCCCCGACTCCGCCCCCGACCAATCAGTGACCGACAGTGTTCTGATGTCACGTTTTAGTACCTCTTCGTTCGGGTTAGAACCACAGAGCCAAGGGTACTGAAAATAATAACAGGTGCTAAGTACTGGTACTAATGGAAAAGCCTCAGAACCGGGCCAAGTAGGGTCCAGTTGGCCCGTACCGGTACTAATGGAAAAGGGGCATTAGAGACCTAATGAAAGTTTTTTCTGATGACACTCACCATTTTAAAAGCCAACTGAGTAACAATTACCTGTGATGTAAGACAGGTCTGCACAGATGGTTTTGTACACACTTTGTGTTTAAAACACAAAACCTCAATGCATCATCCAAATGGAATTACATGTATTTAAGGCAAAGATTTATGACTCGTGTTCTTTACCTTCCCCTTTTTTAAACTTTCCCAACTGTTTCTTCTTAATTTCATAATTTCTGTAGATCTAGCAGCTGCTTCTGCAATTATTCAGTCATTTAAAAGCTAATTATGTGCTGCATTCATGCCCAAATGCTGCAGTTTTATTCAAAAGTCCACTTGTTCCTGTGTTTTGGTGTGCAGAGTCATGTCTCTCTTAGGTTACAGGCCTGAGGAGCTGCTGGGTCGTTCCATCTATGATCTCTGTCACACACTGGACACGAGCTGTTTGAACAAAAATCACCTCAACTGTAAGCACCGACGCTCACAGGCAATGTCCAAATTATAGAAGAGGTTATGATTGTCCCCCGCACTCCTGCAGTGTGTTTGAAGAGTCAGTCCGTCAGTGGTCAGTACAGGATGCTGGTCAGAGGCGGAGGTTACGTCTGGGTGGAGAGTCACGGCGCCGTCATCCCCGGTGTCCAACCGTCCAGGTCCAGAGCCAATGCCAGTCAGCCTCTCTGCATCCTGTGTGTCACATATGTCCTCAGGTGTGTTCGTCTTTTGAAGTTAAATTAAAGAAACTGATTATTGACTGGGAAAAGACTTTATTGCCTTTTCACCTTTAGCTGCAGGTGACAATTATTGGTTTATTAAAATAATTATTGGTGTAAGACTATAAAATGACCGAATTAGCTGATGGGGACAAAAACAGATAATACGGACAAAAAGGGAAATTGGAAATACCCTCTGTCTTGTGAGCTGAGCAACTTTAAAAAAAGTGAGGAGGGGTGGCCGATGGGGTGGGTTAACCTATGTTGGCCAAGGCCACCATTAGCCACCCCCTGGCTTCACCAATGCGCCAGGTAGTGAATAAAATTATGGCACGAGAAATCGACATATTGTTTGTCATTTCCGTTGTGTCAGATTTGGTAGCAGTTGGAGATTCCTCTCAGATTGACTTTTTCTGAAATCCCACACTGGCCTGAAAGCAAAACAAAACAAAAAAACACTTAAATGTTTCAAAAGTGCATTGTAACCGAAAACTTCCCGTTTCCTCAGTTTGTGATTTTCTCTGAAGTTTCTGGATTCATTCTGGGAGTTTTTAAGATACTGTACAACTTTGGGTGTAAAAAGTGTCTCATTTTTTACAAGTGAATTTTCACTTTTCTATAAGTTTTCATAATTTCCTTTAAATCTTACTGATACTAAAGAAAATCACAACAAAAGCCATGAAATTTCATTTCCACTAAATGATGGGTCCATTTTTTAATCCTTGCTCGTTTTGCTGGAAGCATCTTTTATTGTAGGTTGTGGTAAAAATGTTAACTCTGCATTTATCGACACAATTTTAAATACCTGCTATCAACCTGCTTAACGTAAGAAAGTGCCAAAAATGATCTGATACTACAAAAATGTTATTTTGTTAGATTTAGTAATAAAAGTAATGATAATTTAAAACACTTTCCAGGGGTTCTCAAAACTTTTGGGTTCAGGGACCCCAAAAAGTTTCAGGGACCCCCTCATAACCCTCATGTTTATTAAATAATTTTCTTTGTCTCTTTAATGCACTGGAAATATTTGTGTAACATAAATACTTAAGACATGTTCTTTAATAGTGTTTATACAATTTTATACTTTTAAACATGGGGTATTTTTCATTCAAGACACACTTAGTGAACATATTTTTTTATTTCAACTTCCAAAGAATACAGTTTTGAGAAAATTAACAGCATCTAAAACCATTTTAAAACTTTACCTATTCACTTAATGAACATAATAGATGTATCGCCACCTTCAAATGATCACAGAAAACGTTTTACATAAAACTGAACAGCATCACAGCAGCAGTAGTCATAGTAACAGGGCTTAATTTGTAAACCGGTCGATGCCGGTATGCAAATAGCAGGCGGCCGGGGGGGTCCTCCCTCAGAAAATTTTGAATAAAGTAAATGTGATTTCCTGCATTTTGGTGTATTTTAACAGGTTGTTAAACATCTATGTGCTTGTAAAAAATAAAACAATAAAAAGTTTGTTTATTTCGGACCCCCAAGCACTGGCTCTTGGACCCCCCGGGGACCCCAGTTTGACAACCACTGCTTTAAAGTATTCATGACACGTTTTAAAGTCTATTCTTTAGAAATCCGACGTGAAACCAACTTAAAACTTCTTTAGATCGTTAGTGGAGGAATGTAACATTATAGCATATTTAATATGTTGTTAACTGTGTGTGCTGCAGTGGAGTGGAGGAGCCGTTTGCGCAGCTCTCTTTGGACCAAACGTTCCAAAGATTTTTGAGCTGAAACCGGAGTCTGAGGAGACCGACACCTTCTCCACGTCTTTCTGTAAATGCCTTTGTGTTATTTTTCATTAAACTTGAAGGTTTTCATTCTGAAAGGGTTGCTTTGTGTCCTTCTTGCACAACTTGAGAGTTATTTTGCGTAAGCATTTTGATAATAATTCAAGTTACTAAGCATGACGCCTGTGGATTAAAAGCAGAAATGTTGTAATATTAATGCAGTGATAGTTCAGGTAGGTTTAGCGCCCACTTCTCAGTTTGGTCGTGTAGTTTCATAATCGCTGCAGCAGCTCGACTTCTGTCTTGAGAACAGAAAACTTGAAACTTTTAGTTGCAGACTGTGGTCGACAAACTGTTGACGGAGAGGAGTGGCAGATGAAATGTGTCGACAGAATCAGGGTGACTTTTTCTTGACCTCTCTGGGTCTGACCTCGCTTCCTATGGGGTTTACATGGAGGCCACCTGACACATGCAGGGCGCGCACAGACCGATGTGCTCTCTGCTGATGAGGAGATGTGAGTAGACGCAAGCCAAAGCCACAGCTTCCTGAATAGAGACGCTCGGCAGGAGCGTTCTCGTGGGAACGCTGTCAACTTTTTACCTCTCGACCTCTGAATGCACGCGCACGCTGACTTTAAAGTTTCAGTTTAACTGACTCAAGTGGGGGTGAACTGAAAAGGAAGTAATCAGAAAAATAGAGATATTCTCAACCGGTGATAAAAAAAAAGTTTGTCTGCGTGAGTTCAGGTCAAATACAGTTTGTATCTCAGCCCACCTATTTACCACTTTCTCTGCTCACTGAACATCTGCAGCAGCTGTTCAATGAGGGCGTTCTAGTTACTCTGTAAAATGTCACTGAGCCAGAACTGTATTTTGTTTAAACAAATGATGAGTTTAACCCACAGTGGTGGGGTGAGCTTAATTTTTAAATGCTTCACATTTCTGTTTTATTATTTATCTTTAATTATTTTACAGATCAAAATGAAAATATTTACATCATGCTTTTTGGTTTCAATTAAACTTAAATGGTAAATGGACTGTACTTATGTAGCACCTTTCTATCTTATCAAGATACTCAAAGCACTTTACACAACAATCTGTGCCCTCACTCTACTAGATCTATACAAAGAATAATCAGAGCTTTATCACATTCATACACCGATGGGACACGTTAGAGGCAATGAGGGGTTCAGTGTCTTGCCCAGGGACACTTTGGCATGTGTGGAATCGAACCCCCAAGTCTCGTATTGGAGGATGACTGCTCTAACCACTCAGCCACAGCTGCCCAGTGTCATTACTTAACACACTGGTTTTATTGTTTGTTGTGTTTGTTCCTTTGGTTTTCTTTTCAGCTGCTACTTAACACTGTTATTCTTTTCATTTTTAAATATTTATTTAAAAAAAATATGCATACAAAAAAAATTTTTTAATTGCAAACTATGAAATCAAACAAAAAAAAATCTCTTATGCTGTTACTGGTGCAGTTAGAGAGAGTTTACTGTGTTTTCCTGATGCAGTTTGAAATGCAGGTACGCGCTCAATGTAAACAAAGCACTCAGCTGAATCCATGTAAGTTTCCAACACATCTTTATTTATAAAACACTTTTTAAAAACCATACAGGTCCAAAGTGCTGTACAGACCAGTTAAAAAGCACAAAAAGGAATAAAATGCAAGAAAAAAACAAACAATAATAATAATTAAAAAGACATAAACATCTATGCGATAAAAACTGAAACTGAAAAAAGGAGTATCAAAGTAAATAATAATAAAATCAACATCTCACATGGTGTCAAAAGCGTTGGGGAAAAAAGATAGGTTTTAAGATTGGATTGGATTTAAAAACGGGCAGTGAGGCCTTTGATTTAGTTTGATTTACGTGAGGCTAGCTGTAAACAGATAAAGCAGAATGGGATGTGTAGAATCAAAATGACATTTAGGTGGGAATAACTCATCATAAAAGTTAAGGACATTTGTGTGTTTTTGATTATTTCTTTATAACAATATTTATTGGCAATATAACTATAATGTTTGTTTTTTTTAAAAGCCTGTTTATTTCACTTTAAACGAAGCCACATGTGTTAGAAAAATCAATTTGCGTGTTGTGCCCAGGAACAACTTTCCAAATCTTTAATGTCAAAGATTCTGTTATTGACTCTTGTTCGGTGTTTATTGGACTGGGACATTGAAGTCTGAAGAAGATATTCATATTAGTAATTGAACCGTTTATTTATTTATTGAACAAATGGAGCGTCAGTAACACGTGGAAGAGTTTTACAATATATGGTGGTCCGTAAACGTGTTAAAGCAACCCAGTTTTTATTATTTGCTTCTAAGCAGCCAGACTTCCTTCTGGTTGTGACCAGTAGTTCTTCAGGTTTCCTTTAAATTGTTCTACTTTTTTAATTTTTTTTACGTTGGATAAATTTAACAGCTTAAGCTGAAGAAATTTGAACGAACTGTCTCTTTTTCAAGGCTTCAAGGCTCTTTATATGTCATTCGCACCACATGTGGTACATGTGGTGGAACAAAATTATGTACACAGGGTCCCAGTTACATCCAACAATAAAATGTAAAAGAAAAACAGTGCTAAGATCTAAGGTATGAACTAAGAAAAACTTAAACTAAATATACACTAAGCAATAGTAGCATAAAACCATCATTAAAACTATCATTTTGACAAGAAGCAACAAAACAAAGTGTCGTAGTTTGTACATTAGTGGTTGGTTATTTGTTGACTCCACATTGGTTCATCTCTTGAGATCTTTTTTATATAATCTCAATAAGACAAAGAAAAAAAATTATCTGAAAATTATTAAGAAATGGACAGAAAAAGCTGCCAGTTTTTAAATACAATCATTGACACAAAAAAGCTGACTGATTTGATGCAAAATATAAATACTTTTGTACAGTCTTGTATATAGATATAACATTTAATGTTTGTTCATTACAGGAATTTACTGAATGATTTACTCTTAATTTGTATCTTCACTCTCTTGTGGCTGCAGCAGCTTTTTACTGATCTAGTTGCTCCATCTAGTGTTTAATTGTAGTTACTGAAAACAGAATCCTCTGAGGTTGAGCAGATGAGCAACTTGTTTCAAGAAGCAAAACAAGAGTTCAGCAACTCTGATTGTATGAAGACCACTGCGTTCAGATACTGAGCTTCTTCACACCTTTCTTGGACATGTTGAGACAATATAGGAAACTTCACGTGAAAAGGGAACTGGTTTGAGCGATTTGAGAAGTTTTCTGAAATTAAGTGTTAAACAAAAAAAAAGC